ACAAGAAGATACTCTTTGTCTACTTAGATAAATCTGGTGCACAAAAAGGACAGAATGTTTCTTACCCCTGTGTGTAGTCAATTGATCCTATATAAAAGACAGCACAGTGTTGTTGGCTGATCACAAAAGAAACTCTAGATGCTGTAATGATGAGCCTGCTTCTACCCTGTTTTTGGGAAAACACAACATTTCTGTAAATATTCATAATCAATGGAGATTTTTTAAATATATCCCAGTAGAAGTTAAGGTGAGGGGAAATTATGAGGCATTCCCATTTTGAAATTTTTCATTTTATTAAAATCCAGAGGTCTACCATAGAAACTCATAAAAAGATCGGGGGTGGGAACCGCTTACAGTCTTTAAAGGAAATCCAGGGTATGTGGGCAAGATTTAAGTAAATCTTTGTCTTTGTGTTGGGGGAGATGTTTAGTGATTTTGACAGATGGAGTTACTCCTGAACTCTTTGGTGGAAAATATGCTGTAAAAGAAAAACAAAATGGAATTTTTGCACTACCTGGAAGAAAGACTGAGCTTTATAGAAATCTGAAGAGCTTTCATATTATCAAGCGAAAATCAGATGTGCGAAGACTAATGACACCTCTGTTCTACCCTGGGAGATTCAGTGAGTCATTGCACAGAAGAGCTCCTTTATTGTTTACATATTCCTTTAAAAAAATTCAGAAGAGAGATCATGGAGGAAATGAAGAATCCAGTCTAGTCTGAAGCTGTTTTCTCTATTTGAACATTCACAAAAACTCCCAAAATGAGGGCAGAAAATAATTTTCTAGAAATAAAATAGGTGAACCCCTAGTGATTCAAATGTTTTCTTTTTAAGTGACTCTAGGAATTGTATGTCAGGAACCTCCTGTTTCTGTCTTCTCATCTTCCTTGTGTACTTCCCTCTGCTTTCCTTTTCCTAAGGGGGAAAAAAAAAAAAACACGGAACCGTGGAAAATATTCACCACACTGGTTTTGAAAAATCACATGCATAGTTCTTGTATCATATATGTTGTTTAGCACCACTGCAAGTGTAAGGCAGCTTTCTAAAGATGCCCTTTCCCTATTTGTCTCTTTCACCTGCCGCCTTCAGTTTCCAGATTCCAATCCTCTGTGGTTCTGAGGGCTTGCCATAGTGTTATGGCTCCATGCAGATTAAAAAAAAAAATCTGAAGACCAAGTTACCTTGGGAAGGTGAGGAGCAGGAGATTAGCTATGAAAAAACTTGAGCAGAGAGGTGTCTGCTAATTACATTCTGGTTGATTAACTGATATAGGTGTATTTGGTTGAATAAGGTTTAAAAATAAAAGAGAGAGGAATTTACCCCATTGGCAGCACCCTCCCCCCCCAAGTCAGATGCTCCATCTGACCTAGCCTCAAAGTGCCCCTGTCTTGATGGGGAAGACTAGAGCCTCAGATACACAGTGGGAGAGTGGGGAAAAAAATAACTAGCTCTGAATTTAGCTGTGGAGGCCACCTGTCCCCCTCCCTTACCCCCCTCCCTGTGTGTTGCAGACCAAGACAGCGTCTCGTGGTACAGGCAAAGTCTCGCGCAAAGCTCTGCCAGCCCTCGCGGGGCCCCGCCCCCTATTGCTGAGGGTCACTACCCAGTCCCTCTGACGCGGAGGAGTGCGCACTACTCTGTGCCTGCAGCAGTTGGCTGTGGTGCGCAGAGCCAGAGACACCTCGGGCTCTGAAGTGGGCTGGGACTTGGATGGATAGGCGGCTAGTCCGCTAGTCCGCTAGTCCGTCCTCTTCTCTCTGCCTGGCCAGGACACTGAGGCTGGTAGGCTCCTAGCTTTCCAGTCTGTCTCCGGATAGAGCATTCTAAGGTAAGTCTCAACATTCACAGGAAAGGCTGGAGATATCTGGGGGTGAGCTGCTGTCGCTGCGACTGACAACAGGTAAACAGGGAAATAAGTGAATTAAGTCAGACTATCCATGTAATATATGGGTTTGGGGACAAGGCAGCCCCAAGTCTACCGGGCGCCCACAATCTGAGTACTTAACCTGTTTTGGTTTTTTATTTGTTTGTTTGTTTGTTTGATTGTTTTCAGGGTGCATTTCTTCCACAGGTTACCTGTGACTGCAAAATACTGAATTCTCAAGAGCTCTGAGTGAGTCTTTAGAAATCCCTTAATGTTTTGTTTGTTTCTATCAGCAGGGATGCTGACACTCCGGAAAAGTGAGGGTATTTGCTCTAAAACTGGTTCAAAGCGCTCCTTCCTATTTAGTACAGCGTATCTCATTCTCCGTCTTCTAAGTGGTTCAGCCCCCAAACTGTCAAGCTTCCACAACTAGAAAAACGTTGTTGTTATTGTGGTAGTGGTGGTTGTGGTGATGGTGGTAGTGGTGGTGGTGGTGTGCATCAAAGTACACACAAACTGTAAGCTTGACCTCAGGACTTGGAAAGCCAGGTGCCAGTATCAGAGATGCAGGGTCCACATTCCCTTTCCAGACCCCTTACCCTCTTCCTCACCTCCCTCTCCAGGGAGAAGGTGGGCTGGAAATGACTGGCGTCAGTAACCTTTCCCTTATGGAACCATTTGTTTCATAACTGGGGAGGGGCCCCGTCTTAGGGTAGAGAGGAAACAGTGTTCGCCATCCTTTGTACTTCCAAGACAGTAAAGACCAAATATATGTAATTAGAACTCTAGCATCTCATTCTCTACAGTGTTGCTGGAGGTTGAAGGGTGGTCACCAATAGCAACCATCCAGCTGAAGTCTCATGATGACTGATGACGCAGTTTTTAAAAGCCCCACCCTCCTGAAATTTGGGGAAGGGGCTATAAATGGAATTTTTTATTTCTCTCCACTGCCCCCTTCTGACCATTTGGTTAAGGAGAAGACTTGCTAGAGAGTAGTTCTTCAGAAAATAGATAATTAAATATTTTTTAATCTCTTCCCCACTTGATGGTCTAGAAAATGCCAGAACTGCTTGGAGCTCCCTCCTCCACCCTCGTATTCCTCTCCAAAAAAGGGAGGGGCTGAGGATCAAACCTTAAGGCTCAAAAGCTATTTCATTTAGTTGCTATGTTGAGGTACCCCTTTTTGCAGAGAAGCCACCCACCATAGCATGAGTGCCCCCATTCAGAAGGGAAATTTAGAAAACATATGTGGTCAAAAGAGATTCCAAACCTTAGCATAAGGATTCTCCTTGTTTGCCCCATACCACATTATTTTGAGACAGGCTCCCACTATGCATATCCACCTAAAGCTGGTTATTTCCATGCAGGTTGTCCTCAAACTTGTGGTGCTTCTGCCTTGTCATCACCAGTACTGGAGGAACATGTTGGGGCATTCTGTCTAGTTAAAATATTTGTGATTAATTGTGGAGTGTTGAATATGGAACCTAGTTTTTCAGGCATGCTGTCACTCAGCTATATCTGAAATTTTCCATAGTCGACTTTGTGGGGTGGAGAAGGAGGCAGAAAGAGGTGGGAAGAAGAAATAATGATAAGGAAAATCTGTAACTCCTCCCCAATATAACCAATATCACAAACATATAGCAGACACATTGAACAAAATGTACCATACAAGTGCATGTGCATCAGAGAAACTTACCACATAAATACACAGCATGCAAACACCACACACAACACACACACAGATGTTGTTTAGAAAACGCACAGTATAGAAGTCTGCACTATGGAAATATCATCATGCTGCATATGAGTTCACATAAGCAGAAGAACAAAACTTTCTCAATTAAATCACACAAAACACATATACACAAATTACACAAATATCCATGCACAACCCCCATCTACTTGAACTAATAACAAAGCACACTTCACACACACACACACACACACACACACACACACACACACACACACACAATACCATTTCATCCTTTTTAACCAGAACTTATTTGCCTATAAACAACAATGAAAAGTAGGTTTCCAATAGAAGGAAACCCAGAAAATTTTCCATCATAAGAAGTTGTTTTTTTTTTTTTCATGCTTGCTAATTCAGTCTTTTGTGCCAGTTTATGAAGTATATATCATCTCTGTTAGATAGGTGGAGAAACCAAGGCAGAAATGTGTTTAGATATGTAGTTTTATTTTTTTGACACAATGATTATGCATATTTGTTGGGTATATTGTTAAATTTTGACAGTGTACATGATACAAAATTATTGGACTGTGGTAATTGGCATAAATTTCATTTCACAAATTTAGCATGTCTTTATGTTGAAAACATTTGAGGGCCTTTTTAAAATTTAGAAATATGCAACTAATTTTTGTCAATCATGCTTATTTGCACAGTCATACTGCAAGTTAGTGACAGGAATGGATGGGTAGTATGGAAATGAAAACAAAAGCCTTGCTTTTAAATTTACGGTCTCTGATGTCTTACCCTTTTAAATGTAGGCAAAAGTACACATTACTTCCCTAATCCTTTATTAAATAGGTGTTTAGAGACTAGTCGCCTATTTAGAAGACCATTTTTTTCTGGCATGATCTTCATATTTATGTAAAATTTTCAGTACATGTCAGAGCAATCAAAGACCTATCTTTGTTATTACAAGGCAAGGTAGAAAGGTCAGAATCCCATAATCCTACAACTCTGTGGCAATAATCTAGAGTTACCTATACTGCTAGACCTCAATAATCCAACTCTGATTAGGCATTAATTACTAAGCAATTAATTAGTGGAATGTGTGTTAGAAGACAGTGACTGTTTTATGCAAGATTTATACAATATCACGGTAAGAATACAGGCTGGTTCATATATCATTCTATATGGCTGATCTAATTGGCTTCACAGGATTCCATCATCTTAGTGAAAGTGGGCTGACTAGCAAGCCTGCTGGCTGCTCTCCTAAAAAGATGAAGACCTGGCCCCTGTATTCTTCGGACCCACAATGCTAAAATGTTTGCTCCTTCTCATTTTAGGTGGAACCAGAAGTTTCTGTTTGCAAGGATTTGGAAAAATACTTCAGCCTCTATATCCTTTATGGTCTCTTGGTTGCTGCTTAATTCTTCTCTCCAAACAGAATGAACACTTCCTTCCAGGGAGTGTCTCCTTTCCTGTTAGAAATGGAAAGTACCGTTGATTGGCTCGGAGAAAATGTCAGTTGGGTCCCATCAATCGAGGATCAAAGCTGCAATTACACAAACCTGAATGGAACCAATGTCTCCAGTACAGAATGGGGAGGGCCAGCAGGATCAGTCAGGAAATGGTTAGGGGGCAATCCCCACATTATGGCAAAGATTGTGCTGTCACTAGCTTATGCTGTCATCACAGTGATATCTCTCTTTGGCAACTCCCTTGTATGCCAAGTTTTTGTCAAGCACAAGGAAATCAAGAAATCAACAGGCCTTCTCATCTTCAATCTGGCAATCTCTGATATTTTGATAATCCTGCTCAACAGTCCATTTGCCCTGGTGAGTGATTTATATAAAGTTTGTTTCAGCACATAAGAATGAAGCTGCTCCATTTTAGGGTGGGTGATGGCACTTAAAAAACAAAAGAGATATGCATGCCTGGGGCCTCCATTCCAGACTCTAGCTTCTCTGCAATGCTTGAAGGCAATAATTTAATAATTAACCTATCCTTTTTCTTGCTTTTCTACCCTAGGCTCGTTTCCTGAGTGGACAGTGGGTTTTTGGTAGGATCATGTGTCATGTCAGTCGTTTTGCTCAGTACTGCTCCCTCCATGTTTCGACACTTACACTGATGGCAGTTGCCATGGACCGGCATCGGGTAAGACCACTTAAGTACACTTCTGAATAAAAGAGCTGGGAGTGAGACATAGCCAGAAAGATCAGACATCTTACAGTATTCTACAGGGTGGAAGAATCTTTGAGAATAGAATATGTTTGTAGACTGGCTCAGATACTTCTCCCTACTGTCACAATACTTCTACATCTAGATACTATTTAGATTTTCAGAGTTTTATCATTATATGTGTGTGTTTGATGCATTATCTTTTTCCCTAAACTACCTTCAACCCATCTGTGATTATATTGGAATAAGATAAATTAATAGACCAAATAAATTCTGGAATCCACGAAGAAATTCATAATCCTGTGTCTGATTATACAAACCACAGGGACCTTGGGCTGATTGAGGAAGGATATTGCTTCTCTTTTGTAGGTAATTCTGCACCCAATGAAACCAAGGCTAACACACTCCCAAAGTTTACTGGTTGTTGCCGTGATCTGGAGTATTGCAGTGTTCCTTGCTCTGCCACATGCAATTTATCAAAATCTGTTCACTTTTGTCAACACGTAAGTCATACATAATGCATAAATTAATCTTTTTGTTTCTAGATACTCTCAGAAAGTTGACATTTATACTGTTTGTAACTTCATTTTCATCCCTTCTCCATTTTCTTGATTAGAAGATATGATGCCATTTTCTAATTCCAATGTGTTAGTGAAACCAAGGGGATGGGCCACCAAGTTAAGGTCACTGGCAACAAAGAATTTTGTCTTCAGTTTTATCCATACCTAGACTAGGCCTGTAAGAGATAACATTTTAGTTCATCCCCTAATTTTAAAATTGAAGAAATTAAGACCTAATGTTTCAAGAGGCTGGCATTTTGTATAGACATATTGTGCACAGAAGCTTTCTGGGGTTCATTTGTTCAGTCTTGTTATCGTAACTTCTACTCTGCTTTTCTTCAGGGATGGCGCTGCCCGGAGCTACTGTCTCCCTGCCTTTCCTGGACCCAGCAAGCTGGTTGCGAAATATGTGGACCTTGGGACATTTATCCTGTTGTATATCTTGCCACTTCTGGTGATTGTTGTAACCTATTCTCACTTAGGAAAAAGGCTGTGGATACAGAATGCTATTGGTGATGCTTCTGCTCGTCAACTTATGGCACACTACCAGAAGCGCAAGAAGAGTATCCGGATGCTGATACTTATTGTAATGGTCTTTGCAGTTTGTTGGTTTCCACTTAATTTCTATGTGGTTCTTCTTTCCAGCGCAGGTGTAGAAAATGACAGTGTGCTTTTCTATGCCTTTCACTGGTTTGCAATGAGCAGCACCTGCTACAATCCTTTCATCTACTGCTGGCTCAACAGGAGCTTCCGTGCCAAACTAAGATCTATATCATCTTTCAGGGTTCAATCACTGTTTCTGTGTAGGGGCTCCCAGGTTCAGCAGATAAAAGCACAGGAGAGTCATGAGCTTCGGAAACTCCAGACATCTTCACTGCTACGAGTTCCCCTGGCTGTTCCAGAGCCCCAGGCTTTAGAGGATCCTAGCTTGGCTACAGGGGATAATTCCCAGGTCTCTGTCCAAGGGGAATGGGAAGATCCAGACCCCACCCTAGATGAGGAAGCAGGGCCCTCAACCCAGGATGCTTACTTTTGCATCCACATGCAGACTAGCATTCCCTAAGATGGGTGCCCACCTGATCCACTGGAATCTCATTTAATGAGTAACTTGTCACAGACAATTCAGTTAAAGATGGGATAACCTCTAACTTAGATGCTAAGAACAGTGTTTTACTATCATGTACACATCCTCACAGATCCATGTTCCCGGATTGTTTTGTGGTTTTAGTTTGTAGTTCTGGCATCACAACTCAACTTAATGAGTCCTCTGTACAATACTGTGGAAAACTGTGCCAGACCCTGACAGATTTGTGGACTTACCTACCTTATATTGCAGATGAATTTATGTGAACTAGATTTCCTGAGTAAGATTCTTTTTTGCCTCCAATTGTGGCCTGTGATTATCACTAGTAGTGATTATAAGACGGAGAAACAGTTATTGATAGAGGTCAGTGTAAAGAATTACTGGGAAGAGTACTTGGTAAGCCCCCTCTGTCAATAGGAACACCTTTTTCTTCTCTGCCCTTGTGCACTGACTTGGTGCTTCCTATAATTACTTTCTCCATCAATTTAGTCTGAGGCAAATATTCATGTTAAGGAACAAGAATCACTGGTGAATGACTCTGGACTTCTATCACCCCATCTTTGTAAATGTGACTCCGTAAACTCAGTCTACAGATCTTTGATTATAGACTGATTTCCCAGCTTCAGACTTTTCATCTTGTGTATAACTGTAGACTTTATCTGGATGAACTACTAGCTAATTTGTACTAATTTGTGCTAGCTAATTTAACTAGTGTACACTGGCATATGTGGGCTCTGATGAATTTATTGACCTTTCTATTAGAACTGTCCATATGAGTTGACTACTGACTTGAGGTCATACCTTTCTCCTAATACTTTCATGACAACTAGATTAGCATTTCCAACACCCCAATCTTCTCCCTACCAACTTCTTCTTCTTCTTCTTTTTTTTTTGCCATCCTAAATTGGAACATGACATAATCAAGTGCTTACATGTACATACATGCATACAGATTTATGTTGACACAGGTATAAGCATGTATACATATCATTACCTCTCATGCTACCCACCCGCCTGGTGCTCTCACTTATTTCTACCTGTAATTTTCATGCTAACTGAGCCTAGACAAGATTTCATGCCTTAAAGTGAAGTCTTGGAGGTTCTGAGGTTGTGGCAATTTTTTGCCTCTGGAATCAGCATTTCTTTAGAGTTGGTGCTTCATTTTTTCTTTGATTTTATTTTATTTTTTGATGTTGTCTATCTCCCTGTGAAATTTGTACTGATTCATAATATAAGCTGTGCTCCTCTATGCTAATTCCATTCCTTTGCGGTTTTCTATCCTTTTTCCTAACTCTATCACATTATCATTAATGGCTTTAGTTTTATTTCCCTTTCTCATATACCCATTTTAACTCGATTTACTTTAATTAACATTCTATATGTTCTTTTTAAAGTATATCAGTTTTTACACGCTGGGTATATTATGCATTCTCGTTTAAACATACCCTCATAGAGTACAACACTGGTCCTTTTTACTTTCAACATTTCACCCTGGTGCTCATTTTCCATATTTGTTTGTTCTGGGCTATTCAAACTTGGATTTTGGTTGCTGCCTTAACCAGAGGTTCACAACTTCTATGCTGAGGCTCATCATCTCTTCAGTAATTGAAGCCTCCTCATTTCCGGTGCTTTGTTCCACAGGAGACTCTTTCTCAGTTTGCTTCCCCTGCTTTACTTTCTCTCTCTCTCTCTCTCTCTCTCATTCTCTCTCTTTCTTCCTCTTTCTCTCCATTTCCCTCCTTCCCTCTCCTTCTCTCCTTCTCTCTCTCTTTTTTCCTTGTTCTCTCCTTCCTTCCTTCTCCCCCTCCTCTCCTTGGTGTTGAGCTAAAGTCTAAATTAATTCATTATCGCTTTTCTGGTTTTCCCTATACACATATCCACCTATTTCAGTTTCATACACATTTTTTCACAAGATTTCCTTCCTACCCAGGAGAAGAGTGAACAGTCTAGTAGTTCATATGTTATGTTGGCTTAGAAAATCCATCAGAGGGCACCATGTGCAAGGATATTACGAAGAGTCTAACAGTTTCCTTGCGATCTCAGCATTCTTTAATGAGGTTGTTCTTGCTAGCTATATAGTTTGCTTACATTTTTGTGAATAGTTATAATTTAATATCTAATTATAAATTAAGGTGTTAGTATCTGCTTATAAATTTTAAAATATCATTGTGAACCGATTTCAACTAACTTTATGTAGAATACAAATTTATTCATGGCCACAAACTTTACTTTAGGTATGGGACCTTTGGTGATCTAATTGATTTACTTTAGCAGAGAGTGGATGGCTCTAAGAAACCTGTTACTAAGAGAAATCTAGCATATATTCAATTTGTGTGATGAAAACAGCATTTGTACACTTAAAAGTACTTTGTGCTTTGATTTTCATGTAAGGCAAGAAGTCCCTATAATGGAAACAAGCTTAGGACTCAGAATAATGGACCAAGGCTTTGTTTTGTTTTTGAGTCAACTATTTGTGTGACCTTAGGAAAGTCATGTGGCCTTAGTGTGCCCCAGTTTCCTTATCTATACAAGGTGGATAATAATATGTACTACCTGATAGGGCTATTGTAAGAGTTATCTGTGCTAACAGATATTATTATTGTTAATAGGTTCGTTTCTTGTTACCCACCTTGTGATTATTGCTGTTAATATTCTAATTGTAAATGATAATACTATTGTTGTTAAATATTGTTAAATTGATGTTGCTGTGCTCCCCTTGAAGTGCTGACCAGTACAAAACTAAGAAGGCTATGAAGATATTTAAGAAAAGACCACTGTTCTATCTCACAGGGGAAACAGAGAAGCTTCTACTGCCTGTTTAGATTACTTGAAACTAGGTTGGACAGAACAGCTGAGAGGAAAGAAATTTCCAGAGCAGAAAAAGAGACACAAGCTGAATTCTGGACAACTGAAGCACAAGCCAAGTAATAGACAAATGATAATTTCGATTCAGTCCCTCAAGTAGGGGTTTTAGTATTTTAGCATTTCTGCTCTGAGAAGTGGCAGAAAAGAAATCAAAGGAGAAAACTTGAAAGATGTGAAGTGTTTACAAAGTATAGAAATGACACAGGGTTTCTACTCTGAATTGTCATCTCTTTTCTAAGAACCCTTTATTTATGATTCAATGTAATTCTCAATAATTGTATTACATATTTATTTTTGTTAATGTTTTAGAAATCATAGTAATAGATTGTGATAGTACTCATTTACGGTGCTCTTCTAAAGTGTGCTTAAAGTGTTTTATGGTGTTGTATTTAACCATTTCTCTGCCAAAATAGTTCACAAACAAATATCCTGTTTTATTTATGTGTGCTTGTTTATATGGAACACTGAAACTCCCAAAAGAATGAATATTGATGTTGGACTTTGGTGTGGGTTATGGTTGTGGGAAAATCACCTAGACACAGCAACTGCTTCTGGAACCGTTCTGCTTGACAACCAGCTAAGGTGAATTATACTTTGGAGCTCTGAGTTCTACACTGAAGCTCTACTCAGATGATATGTTCAAAATCAGGGAAGAGTCAAACTGAGGGTGTAGTGTTGGCTGGGTCTCTGATTATTTTGTGTCAGATGGGTTTTGTACTTAAGTATATTTTGACTGGAATAATTTTTCAAGTGTTTGAAACTACAAACCTTTGTGAATCCTTTGTGACTATGTATGTGCTCAATTAAAAATTAATAAAGCTAAAGTAAATGAAAGCTATTTCTTTCATTAATTCAGACCCCCTGTATTATCTTAAGCTCTCAAAAAGCAATTGAGTAACCAGTATCATAAAAAGGACATATTGACTTTAGAAGCAACAGCCTGTGAATTAAACTTGATTAAACAGAACCTCTTTCTGGCATGGCCAGATCGTTGCTGCAGAAACAAACGTGTGGAATTAAAAATGCTCCAGGGGTTGTGGTTTCTCTAAGTATCAGACTCAGTAAAGGGTAAGTTCACAAAAAGAGGGGGAAGAGAATAAAGAATATCATAAAGGAAGTGGTCAGGGGCAAGTGACACAGCAGTTACAGATAATGAGTATACTTATGTACTTTTCTAAAAATAACACTGTTAATCCTTGCTGAGAAGTGACCACAATGGAAAGGAAATGAGGGAAATTGATTGGCCACTAGGATAGAGCCAGGTAGGATAATAGAAGTCCTGGTAAATTGGCAGGTTCGAAGCTGTGTCTGAGTGATGCAATATAGTTAAGGAAAGGAGGACTGGGGCTGACCATGATTTGCTCTGCACAAGAGTGAACCTCACAAGTAGGACTGGGTACCCACTGCAGCTGTGTTGCAGCTGCTGGCACTGTATTACCCAGAGCCACTAACTACTTAGGCCGGTGAACTGCCCACAGGCCAGGCACTGCCAGTTTTACTTTCTCCCATGAATAGAAACCTTGTGAGCACTACTGTCTATACTTCCACTGTCCCAGATGCCACCATTGCAGGTACCCCACTGATCAGTATTGTTCCTGCTAGTGAAAGAGCCTGGGGGGAAAGGGTAATATGTCTGCTGGAAGTAAACATGAAGAGTATACCTGAACTTTGCAATCAGGCAAGTTTAACGATGTAACATGTGGGCAGGACACCAATGTGATACAAAAGTAATGATTCCATAAAATTCTAGTCTGTCAAATCAATGAGCTGATTGGGTTTAGAGAACACAGGCAAGGGGTTACAATACTTACTTGAGTTTATATGACCCCAAGCAGCTGCATCATTACAAAGTCCCAGGCCATCACTGATGACAATTTTTAAGAGGCTGAATCATGAAGTCCTTCTATATACCTTAATGTCTCCTAAGATCACTAGTAGCTAAGGGAGTGCTGGCAGAAGTATAAAATGGACCCCCCCCCATGAGGAGGATCCTACACCCTCTTTTCATCTATTTTAGAGTGTTTGCTAGGACAGGAGCCTGCCATAGATAGTCTCTGAAAGTCTCCACCCAGCAGGGGATTAAAGCAGATGCTGAGACTCACAGCCAAATTTTGAGCACAGTGCAAGCAGTTTTATGGAAGAGTAGAGGGATAGCAGGACCCAGAGAAGACAGAAACTCCATGAGGAGACCATCAAAGCCCACAAATCTAGGCCAAGGGGGACCTACAGAAACTGATGCACCAACCAAGGGCCATGTGTGGAGAGGATGTAAGCCCCCTGCTCAAATGTAGCCAATAGGCAGCTTTATCTTCAAATAGATTCTCTAGTAAGGGGAAGCAGGTGTTATCTCTGACATGGACTTTGTTACCTGCACTTTGGACACTTCTCCCTGGGAGGGCAGCCTTGACAGGACACAGAGGAATCCAGGCAGTCTTGATGAAACTTGAAGGCTAGGGTCCG